CATTTTGGCCGGGGCTGGGCTTGAACCTTCGATCCCTGGCCTATGGGGCATATTGAGCCATAGGCACCACCAGCTACTACATTATTTTTTTAAAAAATATTTTATTCATCCCATTTTGATAGTTTCTTTTTCCTTTCTGTTTAGTATTATAAACAATGTGGCATATTTTCTTTGTTGAAAATCTACATGTTCAGAAATTTGCTAGGACTCATGGACTCAGTACAATAGTTGTACTTACGGCTAAGATTTATTACCATGACATAGTAAGGATATACAGTTGGATAATTAGACGTGGGGAAAATAGGCTGAATCTGAAAGAACCCAGGGGCAGTCTCCCTTTATGCTCTTTCTCTTCCACAAGAGGTCACAGAGTCTCAGTATTCAAGGATTTTGTTGGAGGCTGATCACATAGGCACCCTCTCCCTATCATGTACCAAAATTGTAAAGCCCCAGAAGGAAATAAGATTGAGTATAAATCATATTGTTTGTATGAATTTTCTAGGCATAGTGAAATAGCCTTAACAGCTGAGGAATGGCAGGAACACTCAACAAATACCAAACAACAGCAAGAGCCATCCTTGCAAGTAGACCCTTCTAAAGTTAATAGCCTCAGACTTAGTTCACTCTTCCACATACCTTCTTATGTACATGCACAAATTTCTAGAGTAGGCTGATACTAGAAAGAGATGGATCATAAAGTTCAGTAAATGTGTATTGAATTAAACTGGGTAATACTTGTAGAAAAATATCATATAAGTTTCAAGCTAATTACGCATAAGTGAACTTTCATAGTATAATCCTATTCCTTCGTTGGAACTGCTTGTAATTAATAATACTACTCTTACTCTAAAAGCAGACTAAACCGATAAATGGTAGCCTTAATGTAAAAATAAATAAATAAATAAGTTCTTTATTTGGCATAACAGAAAGGTGAGCAATTCTTCAAAAAGGGGACTCATACCTACAGCATCTAATACTATTAGTTATCTATTATCTGCCATCTTTCCTACTATGCTAAATTTCCTTCTATATAAAGATTAATCTTTGAAATAAAAGTTTTTTAATAAATTATTATTTTTAACTTCATACAGATTTGTAGAAAAATGCTACATCGCCATGTGCTCATATTTCGACTGCCTAACTTACAGATATTAGATGGAATTCCTGTGAATTCAGATGATAGGGCAAAAGCTGAATTTCACTTTTCTGAACTACAAGCAAAGAAAAATTCGGTAAGAACTATATTACTTACACTTTACCTTGAGATGTTATAAATTATTAGTAAATTAACATTACATTATATCATGTATTTTGACTTAAATCTTTAAACCTATGGTGTTTTTATAGATGATCTTAGTATCTATTTAGTGATTACTATCAAAGGCAGCTTGGTCTGGCAAATAGAGCACACATATGTACACATGACCCAGGGTAGATTCTTTTCTTAATAATGTACTTTGATATAAGGCAAATTATTTAATATTTACATATTAAATGTGTCAGATGATGCTAGAAAATAAGAAACTCTGACATAACACTTTCATAAATAAAAAATAACAATAAAACTGCTTCCATTTAGGAATAGAAGGAATTCTACCCTCAACTCACTAGACTGTATAGTTCACGTAAAAAAGGAGATGTGCACCTCTGTTCTTATATATTGGCAGGATGATTGAGGTTTTTACCCATGAGCCCTAAAATGTATCTCATCACAGCAGACAAGAGTTAGAGAGAAAAGAAACCACAATGATATTTCCATCATTTGGAAATTATGTCATTGACCACCAGTTTCTTCATGACCATCCTCTAAAAACTAAATTTAACACAGAAAATCTAAGAATTTTGAGCAGAGAAGTAATATTACTAAATCTGTGGCTTTGCAAGGTTTGAGGAAGAGACTGGAGAAGGCAGAAAAACCAGTAAAGAGGCTTTTTTAACAATACAAAACAGATATTATGAAGATACAGACTAGGGCAGAGAATGCAAGTGACTCTCCAGTGTAAATGAAAGCCAGAGACTAAGGACATTAGAATCAATGAACAAATGTTACTCTAAAAGTAACATTTAAGAGGAAAGAGATAACACTACTGTAAGTGTCCCCCTACCAGGCTTTCACTTAACTCGCTGTCTCTGTAAGACAAGCAGATTCCCAAAATACTGAACTTCTGATACTATTTGGCTCCTCTCTAGTCTGTTTCTCCCTTTAGCAACAGATTCACTTATCAAAAATTAGCTTTATAATTTAATTTAAAATTATTATTTTAAATAAACAGATGAAATATAAGTGCAAATTTAAAATTATTATTTTTATGTTTCTAAGAAAACCAAATTGGGATAATTTGGAAAGTCTAGATAAAGATCCACATTCATGCCAACACACATACAAATATAATGTCAAATTGGCTGTGGGAGAAAAAATGTAAAATATGAATAAAATGATAAAAATTCAGGGCGGTGCCTGTGGCTCAAACAGGAAGGGCAGCAGCCCCATATGCCAGAGGTGGCAGGTTCAAATCCAGCCTGGCCAAAAATAAATAAATAAATAAAAATTCAGAGAAAATATGTAGGAAAATATGTTTTTAAAATCTAGACCAATTCTCATCTTTGGATTTTCTCCTTATATCTTTAAATTCGTGCTACTTTATAGAAACCTAAACTGGAAATTGTAAATAAAACCTTAAGGGTATACAAATTTTCCAAGAACAGTCAGATATAATAGCAATCAATTGACCATTCCTTACAGAAAAGGCCTTGGGCATTCATCAAAAGATTGATGAATGCATGTACTATTATATATTTTAAATTGTTTAAGATGAATATGAATTATAATTCTTAATGATTCACTGAGTTTTTGATTAACCCTAACTTTTTCTGATTAATGGTGATTTTTTTTTTTTTTTGAGACAGAGTTTCACTTTGTCACTCTTGATAGAGTGCCAAAGCATCATAGCTCACAGCAACCTCAAACTTTTGGGCTCAAGTGATCCTCTTGCCTCAGCCTCCTGAGTAGCTGGGACTATAGGGGCCTACCATAATGCCTAGCTATTTTTTAGAGACGAGGTCTTGCTCTTGCTCAGGTTGGTCTTGAACTTCTGAGCTCAAGCAATCCACCTGCCTCAGCTTCCCAAAGTGCTAGGATTACAGGTGTGAGCCACCACACCCAGCCTGCTGGTAATATATTTTGATTAAAAGGGTCTTCTATTATAGGTCAAAGCTACAGACACTCATGAGCCTTAAAGCTGTATGGTGTTTAAAAATATTAGTTTAAGCAAAGGAAATTGATTTGTTTGTATATTATATCTATAAAAATTTTTCTAAAACCTATGTTTTGTAAAAAAAATCTTAGCCACTGACCTATATGATGTAACTAAAAAAGACCACCAACTAATATTATCTACTCAAATTCCTATCTCAGCATTTCAAAGAGAACAAATAATCAAACAAAATTTAGTTCAGTGATCTAAGTCTTCTTTTCTTTTCTCTATTCAGTATTCCTGGAGCAAGCCTCTTAGTGAAAAAAAATGCCACATGTACTAGTTTATTGCTACTGAAAAAAATACCACCAATTCAATGGTTTAAAATAACACAATTTATTATCTTACAGTTCTGTTGGTCCAAGATCTAAAAATGGATCTTACATGTCTAACATCAAAAATATTGACAGGGATCTGTTCATTCTGGAAGCTCTAGAGAGAATTCATTCTTTGCCATTACCAATTTCAAGCAGCCATCTGCATCCCTTGTCTCATGGCCCTTTTCTAGAAATGGCATCACTTAGACCTCTGTTCCTATTATCACTTCTCTGTCTCTTTTCTGACCTTCTGCCTTCCTCTCCTAGACAATCCATGATAATCTCCTCATCTCAAAATCTTGACTTTCTCAGCCTAAAAAGTCTTTTGCTATGTAAGATGTCTTGAGGATTAGGAGAGGGGAGGGGCATTGTTCTTCCTACCATACCACATTTATCAGGGCTCCAGTGAGATACCTGCAAAAATTGTCACACAGAAATTCATAAATTCTACTTTAAGGTTATGTTGGCTAAATTTGAAACATGTAATCACTTAGAACAACTTTAAAGATCCCAATTTCCATATAAAATTCTTTAAAAATTGATTTAATTCAGCATAAACTCAAATATCAGTCAATGATAAATATTTCACTAAAGGGTTTGCTTGTTGGCTATTCTTTTCTATTTCTCATACAGTGAACTCAGATTTTCACATTACTATACCATGGCATCATTTTGAATCGATGCTATGTCTAGGAATTTAACCATCTTTCCACCTAGTTATTCTGTATATAAACATTTTATTTAAAAATTATATTTTGGATTCATCTATACATGTTTAGTAAAATAGAGAGAGTATTTGAAATAAGCCTTTATATTAGAGAAATATATTTTATCTCAAGATTCAACACAATTACTATTTTTATAACAAGATCAAAATTAAGCCATTATTTGTTTTAACGAGCTATTCAAAAGACACAATATAAAAAACTGTTCAAGTTGATCAGTCTAATGTGTTTTTCTTCATTTTAGTAGCTGCTATTCTTTCTTTGACAGCAGATAAGGAAAAGATAAATAAAACCTGAAGTTGTCTCCCCCCCCTTTTTTTATTAAATTGTATCTGTATACATTAATGCAATCATGGGTACAATGTGCTAGTTTTACACACAATCTAAAATGCTTTCATCAAACTGGTCAACATAGCCTTCACAGCATTTTCTTAGTTACTGCGTTAAGACATTTATATTCTACACCTCGTAAATTTCACAACCAAAACATTTTGGTGGTTTGGTTTCAGAAGAAAATGTGACAGCATTCTAAATTACTTATGGAAAGAAACTCCCTCCCACAAAGGAATTAGGAGATTTGAAAATGGTTAGATTTAGTAAAAAGACTATTACCTTAGCATTCATTACAAAGCTGTGTTCTTGGTAACACTAAAGTATAATGTAAATTAATAATTTTATAAAAATAAGGTAATCATATTTTTTAAAAGGTCAGTCTTAATGACAGGAGAGCAGGCATAATTTCTAGGGGAAATAAGAATCCTTTCCCTAAAATGCATTTTCTCCTCCATTTGCTGATTCCTGAAATTCTTTTAAAAGCCTCTTACTCCTTAATAGGTTTATAATATAAACACTGTTTAAAGAGTTTTATTACATTCATTAAAATTATTGTAAGGTGCTTTTCTTAGTCCCCATTTTATTTGCTTGTTTGTTTTGAAAAACAAGTTAACTGCAAGGCACCAATGAGGTAATGTGAGGAATACAAAGATGTGGGAGAAAGCTTTTACTTTCCCTTAATTCCCATTCATTAAAAAAGGAGAAATATTACAAAGGTTATTCACTTCTTTGTTACGACTCTATTTTTTTTCTTGAGATAGAGTCTCAATATGTTGCCCTTGGTAAAATGTCATGGCATCACAGCTCACAACAACCTCAGACTCTTGTGCTTAAGCGATTCTCTTGCCTCAGCCTCCCAGGTACTACAGGTGCCCACCACAATGCCCAGCTATTTTTTGTTGCAGTTGTCATTGTTGTTTAGCTAGCCCAGGCTGGGCTCGAACCTGCCAGCCTCAGTGCATGTGGCTGGCACTGTAACTGGTGTGCTACAGGCCCTGAGTCTGTTAAGACTCTTTGGAAAGGGGGAGATGTTATCCAGTACTAGATTCTAGTTAGTGATTAACACACAGTCCTAAAAACAGAACAATTTTCTGAGAGAGGTTAAGTACTCAGAAGACTCTGCTGATTTTACTGGCTTTAGTCCTAATTCTGAGTTTAGGCAAGCATGTAACTCCTGACTTAAAATAATTTAAGTTGATTATCAAGTGAGCCTTGTGATAAGAACTAAACCTATTGATCTGATTTTTGGAGATGATTTGTTCTTAATTTTATTTTATTTTGTTATATAGGTTATTCCTGTTACCAACTGTCCTATAGATGGTGGATCACTCGGCCCAGTGAAAGCTCCTCCCATAAAGATAACAAATGTAATTCTACCTGGTGGATTTAGCTACTTGGGACCTGACTTCACTTTAACTACCAACATTGAAGGTATTTTGACACAGAATTTCAGAGAGAATGTAAAAGAAACACTTTGTGTAAAACAAAAATCTCACTGATATTTCTAATACTACTTAAAATTCCATGATTTTAACTTTTCCTAAAGTTGCCTATTTGTTCAAGTTTCCTATGGTCATTCTGATTTCAGAAAAATATAGTACTTTTTGTTCTACTCAACTACTAATATGTTATAACTAAATATTTCCGCAATCAGAATGTAAACTTTGTGATACTTAAACAATTTTTTCCTGACTTAATTCTTTCCAAAGTTTTTATTTCCTTTCAGGTATGCCATAACAAACAACTAGTAAAACCACTTCATTAGTGCATCCTACAAAAAGTAGAAATCAGAGGTGAAAAATATAACAAAATCTGGAACATGGAGGATAGGTTACAAAGAGATCACACTTTTCTCTTGAAACCACAAGTAAACATTCATGAAGCTAACAGAGAAGAGTTTCAAGAGGTAGAGTTTTAAAGGAGGGAGCTTATTAAAAGAATAAGCATGCAATGGTTTATTCTATTATATAAATTTTAATTCAGGTTTAGAATAAGCTTGTTCTCTAATTCCAGATCTTCCCTAGCTATCATGTTGGCAAAATTGGGGGTAGCTACTCCTTCTCTAAGGGCTTGCCTCTTCCATCCCTTTTAATTTCCACTTTGTCCTCAGACTACTGTTAGACAGTAACAATGAACATCACAACAATTATAAAATGATCTAAGAGTCTACAAAGAATACAGTAGCTTTTAAGTTTTTAAAGGAAGCCCAGCTTAAAGAAACTCAGCATAATTTACTCTAAAATATTATATTGTGCCTAACTTATTTTTCATGCTTCCACGTCTTTATGACTTCAAGATTTTAATCATGATGAGGACTGTTATCCTTTTGTCCAGGAGATAAACCACCAGCAAATTGGATATATTAAATTAGTCAGCTTCAGAAATGTCATATCTTTTTTTTTTACATTAGTTTAACCCTGCATTTATCTCCAGCATTCATTTTCTCAGGTATAGACATACCTCGTTTTAGTGCCCTTCACTTTATTGCACTTCACAGATAGTGTGGTTTTTACAAACTGAAGCTTTGTGGTAACTCTGTGTCAAGCAAGTTCTGTGCTCACTTTGAATTTCTGTGTCAAGTTGTGGTAATTCCCTCACTATTTCAAACTTTTTCATTAACATGTTATCTTTGACGGCGATCTGTGATCAGTGATCTTTCAGATTACTGTTGTAAACATTTGGGGGCACCACAAACTGCACCCACATAAAACAACAAACTTTACCGATAAATGTGTGTATTCTGATTGCTCCAACCACCAGCAATTCCCCAAGCTCTCTTCCTCTCTTCAGGCGTCCCTATTCCCTGAGACACAACAACCTTGAAATTAGGCCAGATAATAACCCAACAATGGCTTCTATGTGTTCAAGTGGAAAGAAGAGTCACTCATCTCTCGCTCTAAATCAAAAGCTAGAAGTGATTAAGTCCAGTGAGGAAGGCATATTGAAAGCCAAAAAAGTCAAAACCTAGCCAAAGAAAATTAGCTAAGTTGTGAATGCAAAGGAAAACTTCTTGAAGGAAATTAGAAATATTTTTCCAATGAACACACAAATGATTAAGAAAGTGAAATTTTATTGCTGATATAGAGAAATTGGTCTATATAGAAGACCAAACCTGCCACAAGTCTAGTTCTTATTCAATTCTACAAAGGCTAAGAGAAGGTGAGGCAGCTGGAGAAGAAGTCTGAAGTGAGTAGAGGTTGGTTTATGAGATTTAAGGAAAGAAGCCATCCCTGTAAAATAAAAGTGCAAGGTGAATACCAAATGCCAAAGGAGAAGCTATAGCAAGTTATTCTAGCTCAGATAATCGATAAAGGTGACTACATTAAAAAATAGGTTTTCAATGTTGGTAAAATTGGAAGAAAATGCCATCCAGGACTGTCACAGCTAGAGAGAAGTCAATGCCTGGCTTAAAGCTTCAAAAGCTGGGCTGACTGAATCTCTTTTTAGAGGCTAATGCACCTGGTGACTTTAAGCTGAAGCCAGTGCTCATTTACTGTTCTGAAAATCCCAGGGCCCTTAACAATTATGCTAAATCTACTCTTTCAGTGCTCTATAAATAGAAATACAAAGCCTACATGGCAGCACATCTTTTTATAGCCTGATTACTAAATATTTTAAACCCACTATTAAGACCTACTGCTAAGAAAAAAAATCGCTTTCAAAAGATCACTGCTCATTAACAATGAGTCTAGTTACCCAAGAGCTCTGATGGAGATGGAAACGAGATGAATGTTGTTTTCATGCCTGTGAACACAACCACTATTCTGCCATACACAGATCAAGGAGTTATTTGACTTTCAAGTCTTAAGATTTAAGAAATATATACTGTAAGCCTACCTACAGCTGCCATGGGAAGTGACTCCTCTAATGAAACTGGGAAAATTAAATTGAAAACCTTCTGGAAAGGTTGTGGATGCCATTAAAAATGTGCATAATTAATCGAAGAGGCAAAAATATCAACATTAACAGGAGTTTGGAAGAGTTGATTCCAGTCCTCACTGATGACTTTAAGATGTTCAAGACTGTTGGAAAAAGCAAGAGAACTAGAAAGAGAAGTGGAACCTGAAGATGTGGCCAAATTGCTGCAATCTCATGATCAAACTTGAACAAAGGAGGAGTGCTTCATACGAATGAGAAAAGAAATGGAATCTACTCCTGGTGAGGATACTAGAAACATTGTTGGAATGTCAGTGTAAGATTAAGATTATTACATTAATGTAGTTGATAAGGGAGCAACAAAACTTGAGAAGATTGACTACAATTTTGAAAAAAGTTCTACTGTGAGTAAAATGCTGTCCAACAACATTGTGTACTACAGAGATATCTTTCATGAAAGGAAGAGTCAAACAATACAGCAAAATTCATTATTGTCTTATTCTGAAAAATTGCCATTGCCACCCAAACCTTTAGCAACCACCACCCTGAGCAGTAAGCACCAAACAACACTGGGGCAAGACCATCCACCAACAAAAAGATGATGACTTGCTGAAGGCCCAGATGATTGTTAGCATATTTTAGTAATAAAGTATTTTTAAATTAAGATATGCACTTTTTAAATATATAATCCTAGTGTATAGTTAATAGACTACAATACGGTGTAAACATAATTTTTATATGCCCTGGGAAACCAAAGAAATTGTGTAACTCACTTTATTGTGATATTCACTTTATTGCAGTGGTCTGGAACCCTACCTGCAATGTCCCCAAGGTATGCCTGTAACCTTTTTCAAGATATGTTATACATCTCTTTCTTTGGATTTTCTGGAAAAGTCCTGTAATTTTTTGTCCTATTTTTTGACTGTGTTGCTCCAATTTTTATTTTGAAATGTATGGTCACTTTATTTGTACATTTATTACAGATAAATGCAGACCTGGATATTTATGTATTTTTAAATTACCTAAAAAGGATCAAATAGCTTCTACAAGCTCAAAGAAATTTAAATCACATTAAGTATTAGCAATATATGCCAATTCTGTTTTTTTTTTTAATTTTAGTTAATGTTATGAAACATATATAGCAGACATTCTGCAGAAGGACAACCAAACCTTATTACTTACTATTTACATTACTCAATATTTCTCATTGTTTCATAATTTTAACTGTCTGAATTCCTATTTCAGACAAAAAAAACAAGAATGCTGGGATTCTGGCAAATAATCCTCGGAGCATCCATGCAGAAATAGCTTTTCGGCAACTCAAAGGGATAAATGTCTCTCCATCTCTTTTATCACATCAGAATATTGTATCTCCAACTGCACACATCTACCACAGCAACCAAGATGAGGGACGGTAAAGCTATTCTGTGTTTTCATAGCATTTTCATCATTAAAAATATACTCTCCATATTTTTGCTCATCACGTATAAGAAATATTGTTATCTGCTACTATATAAATATATTCCTCTGGGATCTGAGAAAAGCTGTACGATAGCATAATGCGTATTTTCCCACATTCACCAAACCTTTCCCAAAGTCCAGTATTTTTATGTCATAATTCAAAAAAGCTTAGAAATAACTATCAAGATGTCAAATACTGTTCAAAGAGTACTAGTGCTCACTACTGAAGGAACCTTGAAATAATTACAAGGAAACTACTTATCATATTTTCTCATAACTTATTTACTCATTGAATATGCAAAGCAGCTTCCTTATACTTTGAATGGCAGATAAATTCAACTCTATGAAACCATAAAGGCCAGAAATTTTATAAATACTTCAGAATTCTCTTGAAAGTTCCCTCCTGCCCCTGCCTCCAGTCGGGACCCAGCCCTAGAGCCCAGCAATGCCTATAAGACTGCTAATTCTCATTAAGAATCCACTCTGCTGCTCAACACCCATCTACCTACAGTATGAATTACCTGTCTCCAAGCTTCTTTGTACCCATGACCTACTGAGCACAGATCGAGTTTAGGCCCGGCTCTTGCTGCACTGATTTCTCTTTTCTATAATTAGTTATGTTCTCTGAGTCCTCAGGATAACCCAGTTTTTAAATAGGCAAGAATAGGATCATTTTCTCTCTTTTTTATAGTATTTTTGAAATTGCACATATATAAAATACAAAAATTATTCACTGTAGAATTACCTTGAGTTAGCTTTATTCATTAAGAAATCAAGTCATCATTATTTGACTCATAAATATCTTATTTCTTACAGAATTCCTGGGAGCAACCTTCCAAGATCAAATCGCATGTAACCACCTAAAGAGAAATGAGCATACACCAGGAAACTTTTTTCTGTTTAATAGTTGTCCAAAAATGAGTAGATACTGGTCAGTGAAAGAAAAAAGAAAGATAATCATGTTACTTACGTTATTGAAGCACATCGGTTCCATATGAAGATAATATATCACCTTTCATGAACTTGATTTAATATCACCTCTCTTAAAACTTTCTTTATGGTTATCTTAATTATTTGTTTGAATTTCTATATTATAAAAATCATGGACTATGACATCATACAATTTGAAAAGATAAAAGTGACATGAAACAAAGTCCAAAGAATCAAATGCTTAGTTCTGGTATTAACTATAAAACATCATTATGGTCTGTCATATGAAAGATTAAGAAAAGATAACTTTAGGAAGTATACTTTCATTTGTAGAATATCCATTCATTTGGGATTACATTTGAGATTCCATAAAACTAAAGCACACATTTCTTACAAAACACAACTATGACTAAAGCAAGATGAGTTTTGCTGGTTGGACTACAGATTCATTTCTTGGACTATACTTTAAAAAAAAACCTCAAACCAGGTCTCCCCTCAAAATTGTTTAGAGATGCAAATTGTAGGCAGTAGTACTTCCTAAATGTGTTTGACTGTGGGTACAACCAGTCATTTGCACTCCAAGAAAAATGAGTCCTATTTCATATACAAATCACTAATTGTGCCTATTGTGATATAATTTTATAGGCAGTTTCAGGCTGACAAAAACATGTTCAAAGATACATTTAAAATTTTGACTTTAATTGAATTTCACTAAAGATAATTTTTCTAAACCATTATTTCATATAGTCCTAGGATATATCAAATATCAATGACATATGATTTTAAATTGGCTTATTTGTTAAATACAATCTTTTAAATTAATTGATTACTAAACTGCCAATCATATTTTGATATAAATGGGCTCCATGATTCCTGAAATGTTCTATTTAAATTTTTAAAGTACTAGCTCAACATTGCATATATTTTCTTACTACTTTGTGTGTTCCTTATATGGAAGTAAATTAAAATAAGTATACTTTGTAATCTATCTAGAATAGTTTTAAAGATATTTTGGAAACTATATAATTCCAATGTGTATGCAACAGTTTTGTATTTTTCTTTCTTAAATGCTGTATGTTTGTGATTTAATCATGTGATATTTAAAATTTCAAATCTAATTACAGATTGATTTTGCTCTACTTAATGTGTGGTTTTTAAACAGCTATTACACTTAGGTGGAATAAGATCCTTTGTTTAAAATCGATACTGCAGTTCTTAAGATGTCCAGGAGATGTCTGTGTTGCCCTTCAGTTTGGACAATTGCTTTCATTACAGGGTTAGGACCATCTGCTCTTCATAGTTTATCACTAAATCAGTATCACCTGCTTTTTTTCTTTTATGATTCTGTTTGAATTAAATGTTGAATGTATGATACTTTTAAAACAGAAAGTGTCTTTTTAAATAATAAACTAGGGGAATAATAACTGAAATAGGTTTTTACTGGATAAAAATATTCAAGAATAAAAAAATATAAAGCAGAAAAACCATACCTTATGCTGCATAAAACACCTAGTATCTTAGCATATTTTCTTTTGGCCATTTTTCCTCTGGATTTCTAATATATTTGACATTTATCATAGAATTTTTATGTACATACATTGTTAAATTTGGAGCCATTTAATTATTTTACTATAAATTTTTAATTAAATTTTAATGGTGTCTGAATTTCTTCTTGAAATTAAAATAATTTTTTTTTTTGGCAGTTTTTGGCTGGGGCTGGGTTTGAACCCACCACCTCCAGCATATGGAGCCGGTGCCTTACTCCTTTGAGCTACAGGCGCCACCTGGAAATTAAAATAATTTTTAATATATAATTTGATAATGATACTAAGAAAAATAATAAAAATGTATTTAGGCATTGCTACATGCCATATAGAATATAGACATAGACCCAATCTTCAAGGACTTTTTAATATAAATATATAATAAACAATTTTAAATAAAAGCAATGAGAGAAATGATTATTAACATGATTCGGCACAGTCATTCTGATTTTGTTTTTTGGGTTTTTTTTTGGCCAGGAGAGCAGATGACCTTGACATGATATACCACTCACCTGGTAATACCTACATTGGTTAAGCTATTGGTTATATGTAATTCATAAGGTGATAGCTGTAACTCCATCCCTTTCCTACTCAGTAAAAGAAATGAAAATGTCACTGAATATGAGTAATGTTTTTGTAAAAGTGATTTTAGATTTTCTCTAAATTATTTCTTAAGTAAATAATTTGTGAACTGAAATTTTAGATTATAGTTAAAATTACTTATAATACACTTAACAACTGATAGCAACAAAACAGACAACTAGTGCTTTAAATTTATAAACCACTAGCAAACATTTCAAATGACTTATCCTAATAACAATCCTGAAGCAGGCATGACATGAACTGTCTCCATTTATATATAAAGCAGCTGTGACTTAAAAAGGAAAAAAATACATATTACACCTAATCAGATTTTTTTAACTTCAAATTCATTGCTTTTTCAATTAAAAGCAAATTAACAATTAATTGTTACTAATACACTACTTAGATATGTAAAGACTGTAAGCTATTTATTCATTCATTATGCAGTGTATAGATAAAACATAGTATCTACAGTAAAACCATTATTTCTTTGCTTCCAGCAATTGTCTTGATAGATTTACTTTGTATGTGGTCATATATATGATTATATATAACTTATTTTCAATTAAGGGCAATCCCACAAACAAACTAGAAAGCTAGAAGTTGTGAATTTATAGACGAGGACCTCCAATGATGAACTGAATATAGATGTCAAACTGATCATCTGACTTCTATCTATGAAGATAAACTTGTGCAGAACGGGCTGTGAGGTGGCAGGTCCCCCGCAACTTGGGAGATGTCCAAGGGATGACTCCCCCTCTACTTATCCTCCTTCTCAGAGAAACAACATGTTTTCCTTGAAGTTTCAATATTTAATTACAGAAGAAAAACATGTTTCCCTTAAGATTTTAGCTTTTAACTTTACAGCTGCACTTCAAAGTTGTCACATACATTTTCCAGCTAATCTTATAGGTACGTAGCTTGGACATATTGTAGAGGTCACACTGTAGTAATAGATTGTGTTCACTTGGGAATTTGTGCCTGTTTCTCTTATCATGATTAAGTTGAAAACATGTCTTCCTTGAGAAACAATTCTGTACTACCTCTACAAAATAAAGCTGTTTGAGTATTTGAGTACTGGTGATAGCTAAAACTATCCCTGTCCTCTCAATCCCACCTTTGTTTCTTGTGTGCTCTTTCTTATTCCCCACCATTCTCCCTCTGGCCCATTCATCCTTGCACAAGTTCTCAAAATAAACTATAATTAATTGTTCAATAAGAATTCTGACTTCTATTTTTGTAGTCCTAGAATCTTTTCCTCTTTTTCTTTTCTTTTTGGAAATGAGTCTCACTCTGTTGCTCCACATAGAGTATGGTAGTATCCTCATAGATCACTGCAACTTCTAACTCCTAGGTTCAAGTGATCTTCCTGCCTCAGCCTCCCTAGTAGCTGGGACTATCAGGTGTGTACCAATATCAGGCTAATTGTTTCTATCTTTAGTAAAGACAGGGTCTCATTTTTGCTCAGGCTGAGCTTGAACTCCTAAACTCAAGCAATCCACATGCCTCGGTCTCCCAGAGTGCTAGGATTACAGGTGGGAGCCAATGCCCCTGGACCGTCCTGCATTTTTCTGACTATTGGCACAAAATTAAATAGGGTTGTGAACATATTTCTGCCTAGAATATTTAGTGTGTACTGTGTATGTGTGTTTTCAGGTACTCTTGACTAGTTTTAAAATAATCTTTATATCTAAGTAATATGCTATTTCATTATTCATAAGCTGCACGTGAGGTCAGACAATTAAGTTCCTAAATTCATCCTAGAAAAAGTGCTATATGCCTCATTGCTGAATTCCATTACAGTCACCTTCTTGGGAAGCTATGCACCAAGGCCAGTGCATGGTCCACCCTTCAGAGCAATTTTGGAACTTTTTCTGGAATAGCTATCAGAGCTGTCATCATAGAACATCTGACAATTTAGTTCCCAAACTCATCCTAGAAAAAAGTACTTTGTATCTCATTGCTGAATATCACTCCAGTCACCTACAAAGTAGTCCACTTGGTCATCTAGTGACCATAGTGATATTCAGCAGTGAGGTATGCAACATGTTTTCTAAGATGAATTTGCAAATTTAATTGTCTCACCTGGAACATTATAAAAAGTATTTAATGTTATAATATAGTAGATCTTATTCTTAGTCATTCTCTAGCCTCTTAGTGTCAATTGAATATTGTAGAAAAAGAAATAAATTATTTACAGTTCTAAGTGAGTAGAAGTAGGCACTTATGGCCAAGTTACTATGTTTATTCAAAGAATCTAACCAACACTTTACTGGCTAGAAAGTAGCTGGGGTTTTTGTTTGTTTGTTTGTTTGTTTGTTTTTTTGAGGTTTCTTTTGTAAAACTTCTAAAACACCTCCAAGTGCCTAACTACTTTTCTTGTTTATCTTTCTATACTTTCCTCCATTATGGGAATATTTTTAAAGAAAAATCTATGCTGAATTACATCTAAGTTCTCAGCTGCCTTTAAAAAAAAATCTATCAGTCACTTAATTAGACACATTTTAAGAAATTTAGAACACTAATGATTTGTGAGAGTGAACTCCATTTGTCAGGGCAAACACAGACCAAAGGTAGCCCTGGAGCTAATAGCCTTAATTTTCAGTAAAATTTGTTAGTCCACAGTTTTTTGATCTACCTTGTCCTGTTACCTTGTATTCCTCTTTTGCTGTGGTGAAGATCTCATCTTCCTGGTGTCTGGGCTTCCATGGCTGCTGCTACTTGAAATAAGCAGCAGAAAGAGCTTCATTACTGATGTCAATTTTCATAGAGGTGGCAATGACAAATTTCTGGTGTGTCCTTCCTAGAGGAACACTACTGAGGGCCAAAGGGCTAGTCAAGATCAGCAAGCCACCACCCAGCTGCTTCTGCCCCTGTGGCTGGGGAGGATGACGAGAATGGGGCAGAGTGTGTGTGTGATAAGAATAGTCTGGGGAGCATGACGAGAATGGTCAGGGAAGATGAAGAGAACAGTCCCGGGGAGGATGAAGTGAACAGT